GAAACTACGCGGGAGTCACAAAATTTGGTTCATCTGGGTGCATCTGGGTGCGAAGTTGGGGTCTGTTTTTTAACAGTGCATGGGTGTAGCAACAGAGCTATGGTAATGTTTTAGACTAAGTCTTCTTGTTGGCGCAAGGCTGATCTGGCTGTACTGAGTGAAGTATGATCTATTGGGCCTCGCTCCGCTACTCTCCTCTACTCTGCACGTGGACAAAAGACAAAAAAATAGGATGGTGTATGATGTCGTGTTTTAGGGAAAGATTCAGTCTCATTTTGCACATTTGGTGAGTAGTGGAGCGAGGACCAGTTTATAGGATTTGTTTGCAAGCAACAGCTGGCCATTGCGTACTTTTCTCTCTCTTTCTTTCTTTCTTTCTTTCTTTCTTTGTTTTTCTTTTTTTGTTGTTCTTATTTTTGTTGTTAGATCTTTTTTGTTCGTCTTTTGGGTAGTGTAGCGGATTGTGCTTTGACGTCCTTTGGGTAGTGTAGCGGATCTTTTTTGTTCGTCTGTTGGGTAGTGTAGCGAATTTTTCTTGTTCTTTTTTGTTGTTCTTATTTTTGTAGTAATAATAATTTATTATTTGTATTAGTCGTTAGATAAGTGTAGTGTAGCGGATTGTGCTTTGACGTCCTTTGGGACATCCGTCAAAGTTGGAACGATACAATGGGCCTCGCTGCACTTTTGAAAAATCATGGGCGTGTATCTGTCCATATTCTAGCGGAAGATTCACTCTCGTTTTGCACATTTCGAGAGTAGTGCAGCGAGGCCCAATGCCTTTAAAAAAAAAACCAAAAAAAAACGAGCGGTAAAATGCAGAGAGATAAGGGTAGCATTAAGTCGCGTTCGGGATTTTTTCTTTCTTGCGTAAAATGCAGAGAGATAAGGGTAGCATTAAGTCGCGTTCGGGATTGTTTCCTACTTGCGTATTATCCCCGGGGCCAAGTCCCACTTACGTCGATCCTTGATTTCTGGTCGTTGATCTGCGAAATCTGCGGTCAGAAATTGATCATTCGGGTAAGTGGGACTTGGCCCCCGTTGTCGTCAATATGCTGTCGCTTCCTCTCTGCATCTCTCTCGTCAAAATGCAGAGAGATAAGGGTAGTCGCGTTCGCGTTCGGGATATTTTCCTACTTGCGTATTATCCCCGTTGTCGTCAATATTCTGTCGCTTCCTCTCTGCATTTTTGTCGTCATTTTTTTTTTTTTTTTTTTTTCCCCGTCTGTCCCGTCTTTCCACACGGATGGATGGTTACTAACCAAGTTGTGGTGCTTCAAACGCTACTACCGTCTTCACCCGAATAGAACGCCCGGTCATTATCGCCGCATCTGGACTTTAAAATGCCCCAAATACAGCTATAATGACAGGGCGTTATATTCGGGTGAAGAAGGTAGCGCCGTTGGTGCATCCCTGGGGCTACGTAGGACCCACTACAGTAGCTTAAGTATTACCACGACGCCTCAGCGGTTTCGATCATGGATACGTCGTAGTAGCACGGCACATCAGTCTGTTCTGTCGGTCTTGTATGTCAGAGCTACCCTATTTCTATTTGTTTTGTTTTTATTTATGGTCTTGTATGTCAGAGCTACGCTATTTCTTTTTTTTTTTTTCTTTTTTTTTTTTTTTTTTAATTCAAAAGCCAACGATATACGTGAATAAACTTTGCGTTTTCATATTTGTTTTGGCCATAGATAGATGAGCCTCGTCCAGGTCAGTCATCGGGCCTCGGCCGCCTCGCTAGCTACTCACCACGTGCACAAAAAAGACGAAGAAAATGGGATGCATCTGTCAATGTTCTATGAGAAGATTCGTTCTCATGTTGCACATTTGGTGAGCGGTGGTGGAGCGAGGGCTCATCATGCATGCATGGCAAGGTGATCGTCAACGTGCCCATCATGCATGCACGTCGGCACGGCGAATTTCAATGTGAATGAGTTACCTCCTCAGACTGCTCTTCGCCGACCAAGGGGAGCCTATCTGTAAGACTTAGTATAAGCAACTGCAGTAATGCATATATTATATATATATATATTGTCACATTGTGAATCAGAGCGCAAAAAAGGGAAAAGAAAAAAGGAAAAGGAAACAAGGGGAAGGGGAAGGAGGTAAGGAAAGCTCCACCTGTTCATAACCTCTTACGTACAAGGCCAGCCACGTGGATGACAGGTTGAGCGCTGGCTGCCCCCATCCCCGTGTGTCACAAGGACCCACTTGCACGCAGCCAAAAGGCAAAGAGGTAAAGAAGGGGAGGAGGAAACCAAACCTGACAGGGAAAGAAAGATAGGGAAAGAAAGATAATCCAATTATCACAAAGCAAATAACACATCCCACAGATCAACGTATCTTTTTTCTTTTTTTTTTCTTTTCTTCTTTTTTTCTTTACCTGCCCCCACCTCGGCAGATAGGACAGCTACGGTGAGGATGATGTGGATGTTCACAAGGATGCCCAAGGAGAGCTGCGCCAGCACAGCATTCTGCAGGACGGCTAGCACGAACCATCCCTTCAAAACAGTCCTGACAGAGGACGTGTTGTCCACATGTCAAAAACACGGCAGGACGTTCATCACAGTGCGGCATCATACAGTTCTGATAGCGTCCTTGGGCACAATAGGGACAACGTATATCTGGGTGATAGGGATGTGTACAATGAGGAAATGTTGGACACCCTTCAGGACAGACGGCGGCAGTCACAATAGATTGATAATGGCTATGGCATAGATGATGCATTCCACAGCCAAGGCACACCGCATCTCTGTCCCGACAGGCGTCACACGAGAGTCGGTCAATAATCCAGAATAAAGTATGATTCGACAACGCTCGCAAAAATTCATTCACGTCGAAAATGACCTGACTCATCATCCCACCATCCCACAGTTCCCACTGGGCAGCTGCACGAATGAGTGCCATATAATGCCCGGGTCTATGTAAAATACAGGCAAAAATATGAGGATGGTTATTGAGGTCATCGCCTGGCGTCGCATGATGCATAAGAAGGTGGCGACCGTGAAACGCTAACTGTAAGACATTTACAGTAAAGCCTCCTGAGGTAGTATAGTTACTACCTTCTGCAGGTGGACTATTATGGTCAAGCAACAACTGATTTTCAACAGCGTCAAGCTGATACGCAATCGTAAGAAATTGGGATGCACTATAACGTTGACGCTGATAAGCCTGTAGGCAGACATTTGTGGCTGTCAAACCACAATAATTTGGTAGGTCTGCCCGCAGATCCGAATCGGTCACCACTGGAAAGCCAGATGTGATCTGGCGGGGTCGGGATAATGCATATATACAGTCACTTTACAGTGTTAGGATTGCATGCAATAATAGATACATAAGTAACGGATAATACAGTGTTAGGAGTACATGCAAAAAAAATAATAATACACATAATAACTAACGATCTGGCCCGAAATTTGTGAACGCGTCTTTGCATTACGATCGCGAGGCTGAGTGCGATCCGACGGCGGTGTGCCGGGCCGTGCCTGCGCTGCTTTATCGAAGTTCATTTTTTTCTTAAAAAGTAATATCTATCTTCGGCACTGCGCTGTAGTATGTGTTCCTGTTGATTCCGACCCGTGAGTGCTCGTCCTTCACAGGTATTCAGCTTAGCGAGGATGGGTGTGGTGGATAAGCTCTCTCTCCGCGATCCGACTCTGCTGATCACCAAAGGACTGATCGGAGCTGATTGGACGGGATCGGATGATGGGTCTACGTTTGAGGTACGTTGAATTCTACCTACCTACCTTCATCTTCTTTTAGCTTAATCGGACCCCCTCTCTCTCTCTCTCTCTCTCTCTCTCTCTCTCTCTCTCTCTCTCTCTCTCTCTCGCTCGCTCTCTTGCTCTCTTGCTCTCTCTGTTTCCTTTCCGTCGTCCTGTACCTACGAGGTATGTTGAATTCTACCTACCTACCTTCATGTGCACTTCGCTCAACTCTCTCTCTCTCTCTCTCACACACACACACACGCACACACACGCACACACACACACCCACGGGTGTTGCCTTTCCCTCCGCCTGCCCTCCGTTTCGGTCCTCTTTTGTGCTCTCAGTTCAACTAAGTTCTCAGTCGCTTTCCAGGCTAGACTGATTAAAACGCGGGTTCGACGGACCTGCAATTCACTTTGAATGTGTTTGACCGCAATATATACAGATCTGACTGATTCCTGCCCTCACGTTCTACTCGGGGAAAGATGGCAGTACTCTCTCTAATCTTCTCGGCAGTGTTCGTTTGCGAACGGCCCTCTCTATCTGGCTGTGGTGCCCATCTGCGATCCCCTGTTTCTGTTTTGTACATGCCTTATAGGCTTCTGCAGCGCGTTGACGGTCCCTTTTTCTTCTTTTGTCTGTTCCTGCAGTGCTTTGGGCTGTTGTTCATTTCTTCTTTTGTCTGGTCCGGCCATCGTGCTCCCACCTTACTGTTTTTCTTGCAGTTTAGAACTGGTCTTTGCCCAAGCTTGAAGTGGACTGTTATTTCTGTGAATTCGAAACTGTGCAGCAGTCACCCGCGCAGTTATTTCTATATTATTGTAGAATTTATACCCCCCCCACTGCCGTGGTGGGGTCGCTCGTATTTGTTTTCCAAGCAGGGAAACGTACTGGTGGTTTAAATCTGGGAATTGGGTGTCAGGCCGGAGGTGGTTGTTTGTTGCATGCCATGGACAGGACGTGTATTCTGTGAAAGTAAGGCCTCACACGTGTTGTCCAATATTGCAAGTGTGTATCTCAAAGACCTGGTGCCTGAGTCGCAGGCCGGCATATATCACCAAAGACGGCACGCTCATGCTCGCACTCACACTCAATAAGCGGCTTTTTAGCTCTTTAGCTCTTTGCTTCTAAGAAGCAGATACTTGCGCACTCGGTTCTTGGCTAGGTCACAGGAGACGGGCAGAAGGTGTAGAATGAGGAGCGAGTGTGATTCATAGTCAGAACAGGGCTCTGTTTGGAACCCCCAGGGGCACACTTCAGGGGTTTGTGTGTTAGATTAGGTAGTGCTGCTAGTTAAGAGTTCTAAGGGGCTCGTTAGACACACCTGTGTGTCAAGTCCCGGAGGAATTGTTCGTTCCACCTATCCGCGGGGATGCAGTCGGGAAAAAAAGAGTGAAAACACTAATGAAGGAAATTCCTTGGGCTCCAAGGATTCCCCTGCCAGTTCTTCATTTTGCCCAAGTGTCCTCACGCCCCTTGGGCAAAAGGAATCCGCGTTTCACGGAGAGGAGCGGGCACATGGGTGGGTAGAGAGACATTACAATAGAGAATCTGGATTGTGGCGGCACCCTATTGGCTGAGGGCCTCGAGCACATTTGATTTTTTGTTTCTTTTCTTTTTCTTTTCTGACATCGCTCGAAGGAAATGTCCTCTGGCGACATCCCTGATGACAGGTGGAACGAAGGGCCCAAAATTTGCCCATGGATTTCAATAGGCGTGTCTAACGAGCCCCTAAGTTCAATACAGGGCCTTTTGTTTGATCAGGCAGAGGGGGTAGACTGAGGAGCGAGTGTGATTTATAGTCAGAACAGGGCTCTGTTTGGACCCCCCAGGGGCACACTTTAGGGGTTTGTGTGTTAGATTAGGTAGTGATGCTAGATAAGAGTTCTAAGTTCAATACAGGGCCTTTTGGTTTGTTTTTTTTCTTAAATTTGTGTTTCCTTTTGTTTCCTTTTGAACCTTTTATTTCAGTCTATTTATTATCTGTGTTTGCCCTTTTTTATTTTTTTCTTAAATTTATGTTTCCTTTTGTTTCCTTTAGTCTTTTATTTCAGTCTATTTTAGTCTATTTTATTTCAGTCTATTTATGATCTGTGTTTGCCCTTTTTTTTTTTTTTTTTCACAATAGTTGTAACTGTAGTTGTTTTATTCGTCAGAATTATTAGAAATAGATATTAGAGGTAGGGAGTTCAGAATAGCTGAAAACAATGGTACCTTTGCCGAGTGGGAAAATAGTGGGCCTCGGGTGGGCCTCTTTAACCTTGTAGGAAGGCGAAAAGGCCTGAAACGAAATGATGGCTGGCGATGAGATTTATCAATGGCAGTCGTCGTCGGGCTGGCCTCCGATTTTTCAGAAGTTTTTCCCCTAACTGCCAGTTTCTATCTAGTATTTTCCCAACACTGAATGACTGGGCGTTCTATTCGGGTGAGGACGGTAGCTCAGTTGGTAAGGCATGCAAGTGGCATTCAGAGGTCTTGGGTTAAATCCCCGTTGGCCTCATGTGCCTTCCTGGGCAAGCTTGGCACTCTTCACCTAGAGATAGGCCATTCGTTCCCCGAGTGGCATTGAGCTGAGTCTGCCAATGTACATAGAGCGAGGGGACCGGAGGGGAGGCATTGAGCAGAGTCATTATTGCAGCCAGCGCACTTCTTTTTTTCGGCTGTCAGTACCACACACCAGTCCAAACCGATCCCGTCTTCTCGACAGGTTCTCTTCACGTCTCTCAGGTTCTCTTCATGTCTCTCTTAGGGTTTTTGACTGGGTCTCTCCGTCTGCCTCGGTCTACTTTTTTGGTACCGTCCGTGTCTAGTCTTTTATATATTCAGTCTCCTGATGAGTCAGTGAAAACTCCGATGAAACAGTTTGCCGCAGCCCCTCGTTTGTTCTCCTCTTCTCCCTCTCTGCCTACGGTTTACTGGGCAGCTCTGTTTGACGATATAGTTAGTATGAGAAATAACTGCGCCTATGACTGCTGCACAGTTTCGAATTCGCAGGAATAACAGTCCACTGCAAGCTTGGGCGAAGACCAGTTCGAAACTGCAAGAAAAACAGTAAGGCCAGAGCACGATGGCCTACCAGTTCAGTAATTGGCAAAAATGGGAGGTGGCGGTCGTTTTTTTTTTGTTTTTTTTTTTGGCGTTTTTTTTCTTTTTTTTCCACTCCTGTAACCTTTTTTTTTTTTTTTTTTTTTTTYTACGCCTGCTTATGCCATGGCCGAGATGTGTAGTCTACGCCCGTGGGTGGGCCATGGTCGAGATGCCTAGGGCACACCCCTGAGGAAAAGAGCCAAAAATGGGAGGGGCTGCTACCGGGAACTGCTCCCAGGCCAGGCCACTGGTGTGGCCTAGACAGCTCGGCCGTGGCAGGCAAAAAAAAAAAAAAAAAGAAAGGAAAAAAAAAAAGAAAGGAAAAAAAAAAATCGGAAGGCGCGGAAAAAAAAAGTCGGAAGGTGCGGAAAAAAGAAAAAATAAAGGAACAAAAAAAACGCGGATGCAACCTCCCGTTTTTGTGAATTACTGAACCGGTAGGCTGTCATGCTCCCACCTTACTGTTTTTCTTGCAGTTTCGAACTTGTCTTTGCCCAAGCTTGCAGTGGGCTGTTATTCTTGCGAATTCGAAACTGTGCAGAGGTCACAGCGCAGTTGTCTCATAGTATTATTATATACTAAAGCACCGCTGACGTGCGCTGTGTTGGCATTCCAGGTCGTGAACCCAGCAACTGGAGAAGTCGTTGCAGAACCTTCGAAGATGGGAGCTTCGGAAACAGCCCACGCCATCAGTGAGGCCGAAAAGGCATTATCAGGTTAAACCGACACCTCTATTAATGGACTCCCTGCTCGTCTTCGTCGCGGCCCTCTTCCTACTTCCCTCCCTCGCTCCTTCCTCCTTCCCTCCCTCGTCCCTTCTTCCTCCTTCCCTCCCTCGTCCCTTCTTCCTCCTTCCCTCCCTTGTTCCTTCTTTCTCCCATTTTGTCTGCCTTTCACTTTCTCTCTCCCTTCCATTTCATTGACCACTCTCCTTCTATGCCAGCCAACCACTCTCCCTTGCATGCCAATCTCTCGCCTTTCTTGCGAACATCATCCAGTTGTATGTTTCCTGAAGTTCCTGTGTATGCAGAAATTAGCCGTGAGACGTCTCGGTTGAAAGATCGTTGGTCTTTCAGCATGCACTCTGAAGTCTGAACTCTGAAGCAGAAAACTTTACACCATTCTTTTTTTTTATATGACTTGCAAATTTGCGATTGGGAATGAGGAATAACACACCACGTATTAAACATCTTCACTCATGCAGCAATTGGGGGTTAGCGCAGTTGGTACCAGTGGGTACCAGACTACCAGTTGGTATGACTTGCAAATGTGCGATTGGGAATGAGGAATAACACATACATATTAAACATCTTCACTCATGCAGCAACTGGGGGTTAGCTCAGTTGGTACCAGTGGGTACCAGTTGGTACACCCCTGCCCGAACTGTGGAAATACGGACCCACTGAGTTCGAACTCCACTGGAAGCAGGTGAGTGAAATACAAATACTACAGTAATTCTGAATTACCTAGGGCCGGTCAGTTTGATGAATGATATCTCAAGGCCTTCGCCCTCATCAACAATGACACATAATAGAAGAACGCAGACCAAAATGAATGGTTTCAGTGCAATCTTCATGTTTGTCCGCCTTAGTGTTTTTTTTTTTTTTTTTTTTTTTTTTTAACCGATTGTTTTGTAAAGTGCGCTCTTTTAGTGCATAGATATGTGACAATATATTGGACCAGATGTGGTATTTGTTATTTTTGAGGCAGAGGGATGAAAAGGTAAGTCCCCGTGTAGTGAATAGCAATCAAGGAAAAATAAACTTGATAAAAGGGTCAGTGTAACAAGCTGCTAGAGCCACAGTTACCCAGGAGAGCAGGGCAGCTGGAGAGACACGGCACCGAGCACACTCGCAGATTTAATTTAACTGATCGGCAGCATAGCCCATTTGTGATATTATGGATACAGAACCATGTGGTGTGTGTGTGTGTGTGTGTGTGTGTGAAGTCTTTGATGCTGATTTGATTTTTCTTTTTTGCCTTAAACACTGCCTTCTATTGTTGGAGCAGGAGTCCGGCTGTCCTTATCTGACAGGAAATCATTGTAATTGTACGTTGGAATACCCACATAATTTTTAGTACTGATTGCAATGCCCACATAATTTTTAGTACTGAGTCTCCCTGTTGTGAGCAAGAGTGGCAATGGACTCTGTGTCAATATCCCGTTTTGTATGTGACTATTACGTATCTCTGGCTATTCTCTATTCCCTACCTTAGTGTGCTAGTATGCTCTTCATTTTGACGGCTGTCCCTTTTTTCCACAGATATGGTTGCCGCTATGGTAGTTCCCTTCCCTCAACCCCCCTGGTAAGTGAGACCCCTCGTTTTCCAGTGTCACTAAGGGGGCATGCTATCATTTTTTGCGGTCTTCCTCCTCTTTGAAGTTCGAAAGGGGGTGCAACGAAGCGGCACAGTAATACTGTGTTCCTTCTGAATAAAAGACATGCGCATTAGTAATTTAGTACTAATTTAGTACCTTCAGAGAGACACATGGCCATTAGCACTAATTAATTTAGTACCTAACACAAGCCTGAAGGAACAACTCCCTTGGATCCTGCGGAGCGGATGTGACCGAAAAAATGTTGGGTATGGAGACGACTGTTTACTAGGCCTTTGGATTCACAGTTACAAAAGAACCGAAAGGGTTTGCTATGAGCTTGGAGGTTTTCTGCGAAACATCAGAATCTGGATAATGTATCTGGCCAGAAAACCGGACTAATCCTGAGGGGGGGTACAGATTCGACTGTGTTGGCACTGAAAGAAGAAAACCTGGGCAGCACTCCTGTATCCAGGCTGAAAACTGGCGAAGCAAAGGACCTGGTATAAAGACATGCCTGTATCGGGGGTAACATGGCAGTTTCTGTCCTGGCCACTCGTGGAAGTGCATTTGTAGCGGTACCCTCCGGCCCGGCAGTGAGGCCGGACATGTTTCAGGCCGTCGGCCTGATCCCTGTCCGGTACCGGGTTACTCCGGCCTGGACCAAGGCTGGTATATCTCTCCGGCCTAGGCCCAGGCCGGGTTGGCCACTCATTCACTGCCAGTTGTTCACTTGTTCATCGAGTTGGACTGGACCCTCACTCAGCTGCTGCTTCTCGTGTCTCTCTCTCTCTCTCTCTCTCTCTCTCTCTCTCTCTCTCACCATGTTTGCACGTGCCTTCTGCACATGCGTCACATTGTTATCGGAGCAGGTTCTCGAACCTCTGCTCCCTCCCTCCCTCCCTCTCTCTCGCTATCCTGCCACCACGGATAGCCATCTCCATGGTTGTTTTGAACCTGCACCTGGTCTGCACCTGGTCCATCAACGGGGCCAGATACGTTCGTCATCCAAGTTGGCGACTTCCCCCTGCTCCGAGAAGGTGCTGCTCCAGCCGCTGCGACTCACCTACTGGCTTCTGATTTCGACCAGGCGCTGCTGGCACTAACACCGCCTGTGGCTCCTACCCATTGATTGGCCAAGACAAGTATGAGTTGTGGTAACTTTGGTGGCCTGCAGCTGGCGGTGCAGTGAGAAGTCGTTGAACATTACCAATTAGAGGAAGGTGAGAAGTCATTGAACCTTATCAATTAGAGGAAGGAGAAGTCGTAACAAGGTGTCCGCAGACAACTTGCGGAAGGATCATTGACAAGCGGACAGCTGCCCTTCAACCCTGCCACGTCAGCCCCTCCTTCCCTCTTACCTGCACCCCTCGACTCTCCCGTCCCGGTTATCCCCGACCCTGACTCCACCTGGATAGCAACCAACCGCGACTGCGACCCCCCACCACCCGATCCCCCACCAACAACCTGCTCCACCCCCACGACTTACTCCGACTTTTCCCCCCGATCTCCCTCCGATCCCGACTTCCCCCCATCTTCTCCTTGCTTCGCCCACCTCCTTCCCCCCCCCGTCGCTGATCCCGATTCTCTTCCTGTCTCGACCCCGACTCCAACTCTCCCTCCCGATTGGCTTCCTTACCCGTACTCTTCTCCTTCTCCTCGCTTCATCTTCGATCCCCCCCCTCTTTCCCCGGTGCGCCTAGCCTTCCCCCTCTCCCCGATCCATCAACCGCTCACTTCCCACTGCATCCCACTGCCCCCCCGATCCCGGTACTCCCCTCCCCGATCCCAAACCCACCCCTACTCGCCCTGCCTCATCTGCGGGACTTATTTCCCCCAATCCCCCTCCGACACCCCTCTTTGAACCCCCGCTCCGTGTGTCCCCCATCTCGATCCCTCTCTCCACCAGCCCCCGCATCCGACCCCAATTACCCCCGCATGCACGTCCGTGCGATCCCCCCTCCCCTGCAGCCTGACCCGCTGCGCACTCTCCCGCCAATTCCCAAATCCTGATCCCGCCATCTACCCCTCCCGATCCCGATCCCGGTGCCCCTCCTCTCGATCTCCCCCTTTCCCTCACTTGATCCTGACCTCCCATCTCGCCCTCCAATCACACGTTCCCGACCTTGTCCTACCTCGATCCCGACCTCCTGCCACGTCATCCCATCTTCCCCCTTCCCGTTCTGGTCTCCTCGACCACGCCCCACCTTTCCCCACGTGACTCGCCCCCCTACCTGTGGTAGCGCACGTCAACCGCTGCGTCCCTCCTCCCCTCCTCCCTGATCCCGACCTCGCTCTGCCTAGCGCCCAACCCCACTGCCCTCCCGACATCCTCGCTAACCCCGCGCCACTTTCTCCCTATTCCCCCCACTTGGGCTTCCACTCCCTGCCCAATCCTGACACTTCCTCCCAACTTTGATCCCCGACTCCCCTCCCTCCTGCGCCCCTCGTCCTAGCTGCACCCTTCCGCTATCTCGCACCCCGACACATCTCCCCCCTGATCGAGCCATCCCGCCACTCCTTCCCAGATCTGCTCCCCCCTGCCCCGCGCTTCTCCTCCTGCCCGACCCTGATTTCCCCCCCGCGCATGTGCGCGCGACCTCCCTCCTCACCTATTCCCCGCTCGCACACATGTGCACGCCGGAATGTTGGCGGGAGCGGCAGATCTGTTAGAAGACAACGCAAATGCTCTACGATGAGCTCAACGAGGATAGACATCTCGTGTAGAGCAAAAGGGTAAAAGCCCACCTAATTTTGATTTCTAGTACGAATACGAACTGTGAGAGTGTGGCCTATCAATCCTGTAGCATTTCTGTACTTGAAGCTAGAGGTGTCAGAAACGTTACCACGGGAGAATTTGCTCGTGGCATCCAAGCGTGCATCGCGGCGTTGCTTTTGCTTCTTTAATGCCGGCTCTTCTATCATCGCCATCACCGAAGAAGATCATCATCATACGTGACTGATCCGGCGACCTCGTCACTCCACCGGGGGAACGATCGAGAAGACCCTTTAGGGATTGATTGAAGACCTTCCTCGACTAAGAGGAAGGACCTTGATTGCTCCCGGCCGACTGGGAGCACGGTATCGTCAATCTCACTCCCTCTTACTAATTCCCTCCCTTCCTCCTACAGATCTCTCCCAAAGTTCTCACCTTTTTCGTCTTCTTCCATCTCCTCTCCATTCCGCCTTTCCTCCTGTCCCATCCCACCCAATAGTGCGCATCATCTAAAATTCCTAACGCGCGTGATGTGTTACGTGTATATCTTCTTTTTGTGCTTGTTTGACAATGCCGTCCATCCCGTTGTGCGGAGCGTCGACCTAAGACGATAGGATTGATCTTCATTCTCTCTTCTTCCAACCCCGTGAACGGAATTAATTTTGGCGTTTTTGTTTGGAAGT